CGACATCGAACATGAACTCGGGAAAAAAAAAAATCCGAACCATTTGCTAATCTCGTGATTAAATTAAATTAATCACTTAATTATGTTTAATTATCTAATTAAACATAATGCTAAATTACCAACAATTATTTCAAACATAGACGGTACGTCGAAAATAGTTCCGGTAATTTTGACTGAAATTACTGAAATTAACTAACTCCGAAAAAAAAAAAAATAATATCGGAACTGAAATATTATTATACTGATAAAAGTCGGGATATTACAAAAGTTGAGTAGCATCCCGCATATTAAAGTTAAATTATTTTTGAAAAATTAATATGATTTCGAAAATTAAAACAGAGCTTTCCTTTTATAACGCGAAAAATTTACTCTGATTTTAGTAAGTTTTGGCTGGGTGTTACACAACCTCCTCCCACTTACGATTAATAGACAGCACATGCTCCTTTCTCGCGTTATTTGAATCACCATCTGTTGGCCAGCCTGAGATCATGTAAATCGTGCCCCTCTCCGCGGGCGCTTCTCCCTCTGGCTCGCCTCGACCATCATTATTCCCTCGCCTCATTTTATCTACATCGGCCCATCGGCCACCTCTCTTCTTCGAGCGTCATCCTCTCCATCATCTTCTCCCTCACTCCTTACCACGGAATCCTCCCTGCATTTCCTTCTCTCCTTTCCTCTTGGTCAATCGAGGATAACAAACTCCTTCAAGTGCCCCGCCCTTATAAGGCGCTCGATCTCATCCTTCAAGTGCCTACAATCCTCCGTGGTGTGCCCATAATCCCTATGGAATCGACAATATCTGCTCGACCTAGGTTGGGTTGGCCCTTCAAACCTGGCTTTTGTCCAAGTAACTTCCTTGCTCTCCAGCTTTTCTTCTATTGCCATCAGAACCTCTCCCACCTTTGCATTGATCGGCGTGAAATTGTTATATCTCTGTCCATTTGCTAAAAGAGGTCGCCCTTGCCAACGGTCCTCCTAGCCCAAGCGCAACGGACCTCGCCCTTCTTTTCTGGGCGATCACCTTCTTGGTGGACCCCTCTTAGGAGAACTCTTCCTGGGTGACTCTCTCCTGGGCGAATTTGTCCTCCCCTTCTTTTGCTCAGGCTTCGCCACCTTCTCGAGCTTAGCGAATTCAGCTTCAGTCTCCTCCAAATTGATGTACTTTCTGTATCTTTTCAGCACGTCATTGTAGGCCCTAGCAGACGTCTTTTTCAACAACGTTCGACAAGGTCCTGGCCGCAAACTCCTGATCAAGCCTCCTGCCTTTACTTCGTCCACATCTGTTGGCACGTCCAAGCACATCTAGTTATATCGAGCAACGTATTTTCGCAAGGACTCCTTCTCCCCTTGTCGCAACGCCATCAACGTGAGATACGTCTTCTCCTGAACCACCGCGCTTGAATACTGGTTGGTGAGCTGACCAGCAAAGTACTCAAAATCTTTAATCGGCCCCGGGGCAAGTTGATGGAACCAGTCGAGCGCACCCCCCCTTCCCCCGCAAGATCGATAAGAACGCCCTGCAACTAACCGGATCTGAGTACCCATATAGAACAGACATGTTCTCAAGCACCCTCACATGCCTCGACGGGTCGCTCGAACCGTCAAAGGTAAGATTTATCTCCCTGAAACATGCGGGCAACGACGCAGCGAGAATTTCCCTCGAGAAAGGATTCCCTCGAGCACGCCTTTCCTGCCTCCTTTCTACTCTCTCCTGCAACTGGTGGAGTTGCTCGGCCATCCTCTCCATTGCCCTATCCCTGAGATCTCCTCCTCCATCATAACTCGACACGTCTTTCTTCTGGGTTCCGACCACAGTAGTTGGCGCAGTGGTAGCCTGAGATGTTTGGTGGGTAACATGTTGCACCGCCTGCGCTGCCGCATTAGCCATCATTCTTTGAATCTCTTCTCTCGTCATCGTCACTATTTGTTGGCAGGGGGTGCCGCCACTTCTCCCAGTTGTCCTCCAGTAAGCGGCGCCACCGCCTGCACCACTTGTCCTCATCGCTGAGTCGCGACAGGTTCTGCTTGCGATGGCGCGGGAATCCCCATTGATGCTGCTCCACGAGCTTCATGCTCTCTGCTCGTGCCTTCCCCTAGGACCGGGACTGCTGATGCGACATCCACACCTTGGAGCATAGGTGTTGGGGCCACCGGTGTTTGTAACGGCCCAGAAAAACCAGGTGGTGGTCCTGCTCCCATCGACTTGGTTATCGTCCAAGCATCGTCAAACGACGCTTGCAGATTCATATGAGGAATTCCGTCCGCCATGGTTGAGCTCACAACACAATTTTTCAAACAGAAGTCCCACAAACGACACCAATAATATAAGTACAACGCCCGACCGACTGAGAACCGCTTCGAGCTTCCCTTCCTCGTCGGTAGAACGCCGAAACCTGCACGAAACTCTCACACCGGAGGGATTTTCCAGTAAAGAGCCTCCGACGCTCAAGTCAGTCTTGAGAAGGTGAGAGTATATGTGAAAATATGTAAGTATGAGAGACTGATCTGAAAACAAGAACTCTCGCCCCTATTTATAGGGGCAAGTTACCTGCCTGAGAGGCTGCCCTAGCTGCCCGATCGTACAATCCTCCTGCCTCCAATATCTCCCCGTTAGGAATGTGTCAGAGGACGTCAGAGGTGTCAGAAACCGTTATCGCCATGGACCATTCAGCCTTCGCCACTACGCACATGCTGAAGATTCCTTTGGAGGCTTTGCTATTCGACCAGGTCTGGAGCGGTTGTTGAGCTGTCCCTGGAGTAGGAAGTGGTCGATCAGACGACCAATAGAATTCGACCATCTAATTCCTCTACCAGGATTCGCGTATCTTTGACTTCTAACTCTCTCCACTTGACGAGTATTGATTCGACTGGCCCACTCAATCTGATTCATTCCGCCAATCTCCGTGAACCGATCTAATGTCTATAATATCCCATATCAGGGAGGTTTTAAGCTAAGAGAATAAAATGACTGACAGAGTGATAGAATCTTGCGAGAGGTCTGAACTCTTAAGAGAAAAAAGGTACAGTTTGTTTTCAGACGAAGAGTATGTGGATAGAAATTAATCTATAATTTAACTTGCACGAGAAAGAAATTAAGTTTAGTGATTATCTCTAAGATTCTTAAAGTTAAATAATGTTTAGATTAATTTAAATGTTTCATGATTTAATTTTGAGAAAACATACTCCAAAATCTATTTTTTAAATCTTGTTGTATTCGTAGTTTATTGTTTACTCCATAATTAAATCATGCTTCTAATTTGCATTAGTTGATATCATATTTAGTCATTATTGTTTAAGTATATAATTAATAAAACCACAATCCATGTACAATACGACCTTACTCGCCAGTATAGCTATATGGTGCATTTGCCGATAGCAAAAAAAATTAGCGAACAAGTTTTTGACGCGAATATTGAGATTTGTGTTTAATTAATTTATATTACACGAAAGCAAATAGATATTAATTTGGACTAGTTTAGTCGCCTTTTTTTTTCGTTGGTTTTTATAGTTAGTGCATGATTTAGGAGCATACTTGCACAAGGATCCCGAGATAAAAGCAACGTGCCGAAAATGCGAGTAGGAATGAGGACCAAGATGGTGGATCGAGATGATGACACAACTCGAATCGAGGATAGAAGAGTTGCAACGTCAAATGACGTAAAGACAAGCTGAGATGTAGAAACACCAGTTCAAAGTATCTTCCTACCGTGAGTGAACTAGGCATATGGAGAAAGCCTTGGTCCAGGAATCTCGACAAACAATTTCGAGCTACGCTTGACCTTAACATGGTTCAACAATTCATCGAGATCGGCCTTAATGAATTGAACATTGAAGTCGAGATGTTTTTTTTATCCTACTCATCCGAACCGACTGAAGAACATAAATAATGTGCTCTATGCTCGTCGATGGAATCACCATCTCGATTAAACAGAAGAAAGGGTAACATACATGTCTAACCAAAAAATTAACGGTAGCTTACGCCGGTCTAACCATTAGACCGACATACTCTTTCTGCAAATATATATACTTTCTGTAGAAAATGGCATACTTCAATAAAAGAAACTAAACATAAATATAACAAATTATCACATTTGATAATATAAACATTCATTTTTGTTTTTGGAGTATGTTAGGTCGACCGGCGTAAAGGTTTACTCTCTCACCCAAGAAATTGTGAATAAATAATTATCTTAATAAGAATATTGAATAAGAGTTAGAATTGTAAACTAATAGTTGCAAGCACTCCCGCAACGACGTACGCCAAAAGGTTTGAAAAATTAAAGTAAGCTACAGATCGATTTCTGTTCGTCTGCTAGAAACACATTTGACCTGAGCTCGTCAAACAAGTTTGAATGAACTCTTCAAAATAAGTTTGTATATACATTTGAAATGTTTCGCTTAGCGTCAGCTCAGTACTCTAAAGCATAATTCATATGCAACTGCTATATTTATCACTCATGATTTTTTTCTTGGCTTAGTCCGTTAAAGCTCGTTTGAACGCTATTTGAGTTAAGAATTCAACAAACTCAAACATAATTACTTAAACAAGATAAGTTATGAAACAATAAAAAAAACTCAAGCATAATTAGTAAAGCAGACATGGGTTCAGATACTCTTCAACACTCGCTACTTTTGTGATTCAGTTGGACTACCTTTACAGCCATAGGAACCCCTGTGAGTGTCGGGGTGCCCTTTAATAGAATCGCATTGTATTAAACATGAACCCCTCTCATACATATTCGATAAAATCTAACATGATGGTGTAAATCCAAAATATAGTTCACTTCACATCATATTCTACATAATTCATGTCATTACAACTGTTGCAACATGCCTAAAACAAGCTTCTAAATTGCTATAGTTGGCTTAAGCATCACAAGAGCTGTGGGGCTCATAAACTTAGCTACTCAAATACGCTTTGGTGGAACGTAAGGTACACGTTCTTCTTCGCACATATTCTGCAAAACAATAAAAACATACCAAGTCAAATTAGCAACTTGGATGAAAAACTAGTGCACAGAAAAAGGTTTCCATTATTTTGCCCTTCTGTTACTTTGACAGAGATTTGAATTCTGTTGCTGATCTGGGAAAACATATCCGAGAATAGAAATCACCGATAAGCATAAAAAAGAATTTACCTGCAAGTCTTGAGGGAGTGCTTCAGAGACCCCAAGAGTATAGCAACCAGGAACAAACTTTCCTAAAGGTTTCAAAAGAATCAGACACATCTTGAATCAGAAAAAACCTAATCTTTCATGATAAGTAATGGAAAAACTAAAGTACTGATATCAAACTTGTTCTGCAACAAAACAATAAATGAGAAAATGTGACAATGAATAAGTACGAGATGAGGCACTAAAATTGCGAAGATCATAAATTTCTATCAAAATTATTCAAATATGCTCACATAGTGTATTTAAAAAGAAAAAAGAAAAAATATAGTAGATACTGATAACATACTTGTTAGGCATCAAAATAGTAAATGAGAAAATATAATACTGAATAGTATCTAATGGGCACCAGAATGTAAAGTTTCATATTTTTCAGATAAAAATATTTCAATTATGCGCACATAACATAATAATCATACCTACCTAAAGGTGTCTTCCAGAGACCTCTCTTCCAAATATTGTCCTAATGCCAACTAAATTTAGCTTGGCACAAGCAGCATATTTTATATACCCAAAACTCGTAAGTGGCAATCCTAATAAGTCTAAGCCATGGCCATATCTGTCAAATAAAATACCCTTTCTATGCTTTGCAGGGGTCCCCAAACATTTCATAGTGCATAGAGCATAAATTCACATGATCGACAAAAACACACACTTCATGTTTTCACAAATCAGGAGACCAGCTGTAAATCTTATTAGGATTCAACTCAGAGATAAATGATCAAAACATAAGTAAAGACAACGTTAGAGAGGAAGAACAAGAAACTTACCAATACGGAGCCACCGGGCAACCCAGCTTCTAGTTGGGTCCATGACCGAAATTAGCCTATGAACAAAGATTACAACAGATTTCAGGGAAAAGAGAATCTTATTTCTTCACTGAGAGCCTTTGCATTGGGTCCCAAAGAAGTGTTCAATCAAGAATGAAAACAAACCCAGTAAAATTTGGAGTCGTGCAGTCCACGACTCTTTCGTGATCCTCTTCCATCTGAAAGAAAGGACAGTTCTCACAACCCGATTCCCTAAACTGCAATAACAATGCATACATTTTTCAATATTTAGCAATAAATTGCCATCACAACTTTTTAAGAGGACGTGTTTGGATGTCGATAAAAAAAGTAAACCTGGTCATAGGTCTTCACAAGACGGCATCGAAGGCAGGCTCTGAGCTCGTGTCCAAAGCTCGTCGGTATTTGTGCAACCGTTGCACCTTGATTTGACATTGTTTTCTCTGGCTTCCTCTACAAGTAGAATAAACAGATGCTTGTTAACTTATTTTTCACAGGATTAAGATAATCTTTTCCCAAGCAATTTTACTATAACTCAAAAGTATATTGTAATAATTTAACTTATGTTTTTTAGTGAACAGGCCGACAATATACAAAAACCACTCTCCTAGTTTTTTCATCAATCACGTAGGTGGAAAATCATTATAATAACTAATCCCCAATTGGTTTTATTCTTTCCTTTTCAATTCCAAATCACACTGAAACAGCTAACAAAATCCCACATCAAACAGTTAAAATGTTCGCATTCTTTTCATTCACACCACAACATTTTGTATTGATAAAAACAAACCACATGCTCTCGTCTTAATCAAAGAGAGGAGTGGGGGGAAATCAGCAAACACATGTAAATAGCAAGCCTAAACACACATACGCACAAATTATTGTATATATGTAACTGCATCACAACCGAATCAGGGTCCATCTAATCAAATAAAGGAAGATCAAGATAATAAAATTGGACATTTTTTAGTGAGTACAAAACCTCCAACATGGAAAATTGTCAAATCATCCTAACACACTTAGGAAAATAGCAACTTTTTGCTCACTTATGTGGACATTTTTAGTGAGTACTAGACCTCCAACATGTTCGAGCAAGTAACATAGCCTACCAAAAGTATTTCAATCCATACGAAGTTGTTCTATGCATATGATATCAATAAGACCGATTAGTCGTGTCATGTGCTATATTTGAGCGGGGAGACAGTCAGCCATACAATATGTCGAGGTTGACTGCGCTATTTGGTAATTCACCCAATATAATTGTGTCCGCATTCATAAGTATGCTGTTTCGGCACCAAATTTTAAAGCGAGAATGGTTCGCTAAAAGATATTACAAGAAAAATAATTACCGGTGGCAGTGGATCAAACAAAGAACGGCCTTTTGATGTGAGGATCTGCTTGTGTTGGTTACCACTTCCACAAATTTCTGAGCAGGAGATAGGATTTCGCGAGCTACAGGTAGAAAAAAAGGCTTCTTTGCACACTCGAGTAAACTTCGTACGAGGAAGAAGGCCAACTGCACACTCGATTCGCTGTTATTCCAGTCGGGCGGCACTATGATTCTCACCGTCTAACTCAGGAGGAGCTGCTAACCCTGTGCAGTAATATAACAAAGCCGGATATAAAAAGAAGTCTTCCGAACAAAGAATTAAGACTAATACAGTTGTTCCGAGGCAGATACAAAAGAAGATTATTGAACGGAACATGAAGTACCTGTTCGTTTCGAGCCTCGCCATTGATGTACTAGGGTTCTTTGCAGTGAGGTCGGGTTCTGAAAACGGTGGACAATAGGTATTGGTGAAGGAAGACCCTTTCATTTGGTTATATTGTAAGTTTTGGTTGGGTTTTGTCTAACGTCCTGAAAAAGACATTTTTGCCCTTTAAAAAAAATCACTCTTCACTCACTACACTCTCTCGTTATGTTTGAAAAAGAATTCGAAAGATTTTCGACAAATTCGGGCGAAAGAATATCAGACGACGAGTGGATGTGGCCACGTGTCACCCAGCTCGATCAAACCCGTTGACCAGGGATCCGGGCCTGGCTTGGATTTTAAATGGACCAGTCAAGGGTCTTGTTTTTTCGACCTTAACCCGGCGGGCTGGGCCGGGTCCGTGTCGGCATAGAAATACCTTTCTTTTTATAATTTTTTCTTTTTTTTTAAATTTTTTTATGTGACTGGGTCCAGAC